GGGGCTCACAGTTGCTCCAGGCTGGCCACAGCAATACAAGAGTTAATGCTATCCTTGGAGAAGGACGAGGCCGAGAGAAATTCCCTGGCATGGCCACCACATACCCTGCTGGTCATTCTTTGGGGAGTTTCTATACCCAGGAATGCCCCTACCTGAGGGTAATGCAGGGGTACAGAAAAAGTGAGAATGCCAGCAGGCAGAGCCCCTCCCCCAGGTAAAACAGCTTCCTCCCCTCCAAAGACAGTGAGCTGGCACCCATCCAACTTTCCAAACTTTGGAGGCTCCCACCCCTTAGGGTGGGGGGAGGGGTAAGTCAATGTGGGTGTCGGGGGGTGGGGAGGGAAACATCCAAGAGAGGGATGGAGACCAGGTGACTAGGGGAGGGCCTCCCGGGGCTGATCCCTTCCCCACCTTCGAAAGCCAGCGGCTGAGCCTTCGAAGGCCTGTTGGCAACGCCCTCTGACCATCGTCTCTGCCGTCTCCCAGTCCTACCCCCACCCCACCCACACCCGCTAGCACCCCCAAACGTGCTCTGCGTCGCCCCCGTCGCCTGATTCGCTCTGCAGCCTCCCTCCAACTCCTCTTCTCAAGGCCTGGATTTCCCCCGCCCCCCATCAGCAACCCCGCTGTCAGCCCGCTGGAGCCTGTACCCCAGCAGCAGGGACCTGAACGCGGGGGAGACCGGGAGGCAAGGCTGACAGGCATCCCGCCCACCCTCTCTCCTCTCCGCAGGACCGCAGCCCAGCTCGGACCAATAGTCCATCGATCATTAAACCTTGAGAATAGGGGGTCGCGCAGACACCCCTCTTTCACCCACGCCGGGCATATAACCCTTTCCTTCCCGGGGCTTCCTGAGCCAACCCCAAGCTCCGCAGGAGCGGTTCCTTTCCCTCGAGCCCGACACCTCCCCTCACCTGTGGGCTAGGGTCGAAGACCTCCATGGGGATCTCCTGAGAAGGTGGGTAAGGGCCCCGGGACATGCCGCCCTTCTGGACCATGGAGAGGATCCTCCCGTCCGGCCGCCCGCCCGGCCCAGCCGGACGCTCTCAGCGCATGGGAGAGGCCGTTCAAGCCGAAAGCAGCGCGGCGTCGCGCAGCCAGCACCGGGTGCAGTCGCCCAGCAGGACCTGGAGCTGCACGCTCGCCGCCTTGCCGCCCTCCCGGCTCGCGCTCTCGTCTCTGCGGCCGTCGCCGCCGCCTCCGCCCCTGAAGGCTCAGCATCTCCCCCCTCTCTCCCGCCTCCCTGCCCCTCCCTCGCTCCCGCCCAGCGCTGCGGCCCCGCCCCTCGAGCCCCTCCGCGGGTAGCGCGCAGACAATGGCGGAGCGGCGGAGTCCAGTTGGCCTCCCGATCCCAGAGGGGCTTGACCGCTGTCCTCCGATTAGCCTAGGATGAGGGCAGTCTTCAGGGGACCAAGGGGAAACAGGCCTTGAGGCTGAGGTGGAGGTGGGGGGCGTTTACCGGTGAGTGCCAAGCGCTGAAGCGCAGGTTGGCAGGGCTGGCACTCCCTCCCTTTCTGTCCCAAACTATTGTCCCAACGGGTCTCCCTGACCACTCCTGCTTGGGCCACCGGAACTTCCCGGTCCCTGTGATCCTGGGACCTGGCTTTAACTCCTTTCTTTCCAGTGTGGGGCCCAGGCCGCCATGAAACCAACAGAGTAGACCTCCCTCTCCAGCCTGGCTTTAGGGCTGTTGGCTGAGGATGGCATAACTGTCCAAAGGGACACACCAATAGGGACTGTAGGAATGCTGTCCAGGGACCCAAGAGTGCATCTGTCTCATCAGTTACTAAGGTCCCCCAGGCCCTTTCAAAAGCCCAGCGGTCAGGCTAGGCAAAGTCCCTGTTGCTTAGAACAGAAAGAAACAGGAGCAAGTGTGAAGGGAGAGAAGGAGAAAGACTATTCAAGATTAGAAGCCTTGAATGTTGACCTAGGGTTGTCCTTCCTTTATCCTTGACTGGGTAACAAATGTCCCAGGCCTGTGGGGAGGAGTAGGATCCTAGCAACTCAGTGCTAACTAGGTTCAGGCTCTTTCTGGTTGTGGGGTGTAGCATGTCTTTAATCCCAGCACTGGGGAGACAAAGGCAGAATTTCTGTGAGTTCGAGGCCAGCCTGGTCTGCATAGCGAGCTCCAGGACAGCAGGGACTACACAGACAGACCCGTCTCAAACAAACAAGCCAGTCTCTGTGCTTCAGTTTCCTTTCCTATCAAAGGTGTTGCTGGTTATGGCGCCTTTGTCTACTGGAGTTATTGGCAAGGTGAGAGAACTAGGAAAAGCCTGGAAGCTGGGTGTGATGTGTGCAGCAGCCATTCCAGCACTCAGCATGGGGCAGGATGATCAGGGCTGGAGGCTAGTCTCAACCACCTACTCAGCTACATAGAAAGACCTGGTTACAAAATATCAATGAATAAACAAAAATGCCCCACAGTGAAAAAAGATGCTGAGGTTCTGGAGGTGCTTTGAGGAGCAGTGCAGGGGTCCTTGGTGCCAGGAGGATCATTTCCTCCCTTCCCCACCCTGTTCCGTGCTCCGCAGACAGCAGAGAGGCCAAATAAAGCCTTGTCGAGGTCAAGTGCTCCTAAAATAAAGCCAGCTTTCTGTGTTCCCCTTTACTGGGGACCAGGGCGGCGTGGACTCCTCCTCACTCTGGGTTCTGACAGGTGAACTCTCACGCTCTGGTCACATCATCTTGTGATAAGGATTGAGCAGTAGTGAGAGACTTTGTGTCTTTCCATGAACATCCCCAACCCTGGCAGCGTTCTCGCCAGCGCACCAAGGACAACAAAGCCTGGCATGGAGGGAAGCAGGGAAGCATGCGCTTCTCAGCGAGGCATGATGGCAGAAGCCCTCAACCCCAGCACTCAGGAGGCAGAGGCAGGCGGGTCTGAGTTCGAGGCTAGCCTGGTCTACATAGGAAGTTCAGGCCAGGTAAGGGCTACAGACCCTGTCTCAAACAGCGACAGCAGAAGAGGAGGAAGAGGAAGACATGTGTTCTTGATCTGTTTCTTAAGTTGTAAAGTGAAGTGAATTGTTTGTTTGTCTTAGTTATTTGATTGATTGTTTTGAGACATGGCTCATTATGAAGCCACGTCTGGCCTGGAACTCCCTCTGTAGACCAAGCTGGCCTTGAACTCTCAGATCTGCCTAGCATCTGCCTCCCAAATGCTGTGATTGAAGGTGTTCATCACCACCAAAATGAAGATTTTTCAAAAGTTGCATTCTTGTGAGGCAGTACATAAATGTTTCCCCACACCCTCTCCCTTTCCTTTTAAACTCTCAGTTCATTTAACTGCCTAGAAAATTCAGATGAAAATGATAGGAACAGCTGAGCAATGGTGATGCACATTTTTAATCCCAGAATTTAGGAGGTAGAGGCATGTGGATTTCTGTGAGTCTGAGGCTAGCCTGGTCTACAGAGCTAGCTCTAGTACAGCTAAGACTGTTACAAAGAAACTCTGTCTCAAAAAACAAAACAAACAAAAACAAAAACCAAGAAGGGAAAAAAAAGAGACTTTTTTTTTCCCCTTCGCTATAGGGTGTCTCTGTAACAGTCCTATCTGTCCTGGAACTAGCTCTTGTAGACCAGGCTGACCTCAAACTCACAGGGATTCGCCTTCCTCTGCCTCCCTAGTGCTGGGATTAAAAGTGTGCGCCACCACTGCTCAGCTCCTGATCTCGGACTTTAAAAGGAGGATTGCTAGGCTGGAGGGATGGCTCAGTGGTTAAGAGGATTACTTGCTCTTCCAAAGGTCCTGAGTTCAATTACCAGCAACCACGTGGTGGCTCACAACCCTATGTAATGAGGTTTGGTGCCCTCTTCTGACCTTCAGGCATATACACCGACAGAAAATTGTATACAAAATAAATATTTTTTTTAAAAAAAGGAGGGGTTACTTTTGTGTATGAGTTTGCATGCATGCATGCCAGCATGGCTGATATCTATGGGTGCATGAGGCAGTAGAAGACAGCAACAGATCCCAAGGAACTGGAGTAGCAGGCAGCTGTAAACCACCAGATACGGGTGCTGGAAAAGCAACTACAGTTGTCTGGGGGAGCAGCAAGTACTCAATCCTGTACCATCTCAGCTTTTTTTTTTTTTTTTTTTTTTTTTTTTTTTTAAGACAGGGTCTCATTCTGCAGCCCAGACTGCCTGGAATCCTTCACCTTGGCTATCTTGCTACCTCGATCTCATCTCCCGACTGCTAGAATTAAGGGAGTCAGCTTCTCTGCTCCAGACTGCCATATTTTAACTCTTGATCCCCAGAACATTCTCCTTGGATGTCTCAGGGGTATTCAAAGCCGTTGGGTTTTTGTTGTTGTTGTTTATAGACAATTCAACGTAGGTCTTCTATGTGCTTGCTACAGTGAGCCAAATATTGGTTTCGCTTGCTTATGCTAATGCCTTCCTTGTAAAAGTCGATGCATATGATTTTCACAAGTGGGTGACAGAAATTAGGATTCGGTTCAGTCTACAATGGAGGAGGTATCCGGGGATTAGGGATGTGCAGTGGGACCGAGATAAATTTTTTGGTGATCTAGCCTGCATACCAGTTCTTCCTCTAAGAGAGTGAACGCGAGGTTACCTTTTCTCGCTTTCTGCTTTCATTATCCTCTAACGCTTCGTTCGCTAATTCTCTCCCAGCTAGAATAACAGCCTTCACTAATGACAAGGCCTCTGAGAAGACTAGGCCATTCGGGCTAAACCCTCCTCACTCCGCCTGCGCGACTTAGTGCGACTTCCGGCCACCCAAATACCCACGTGATCAAATACCCTCACTGCGCATGTCTGCCGAGAGGTTGGACTGAACCATTTTGCCAGACGACAGGGGTACACCGTTTGTGTTTTAAAGCTTAAAACCGATTCTCGGCCTTAAGCATCTATGATGACAATTTTTTTAGGACGGATTTAAGTGTGTATGAGAAGGAATAAGATGAGAGAGCGGAGTGGAAATACAGATGAGCATGGGGTCGGCCTTGGGCTCTCCCCTTCTCAGATAATGGGAGGAGCCCGCGACCAGCAAGCTCTTTCCTTTCGCTGCTGCGTCCGCAGCCATGAGGTGAGCGCGCGCGGCTCTCGGTTCTCGGCCGATGGGTCCGGCGGGGTTTGGCGGGGATCAGGGCCACGACCCCGGATGGCAAAGAGTAGAGGAAGGCGGGCGTGGTGCGGCCGCGCCGGGAGCGAGGGGAGGACGCGAGCACGCGCGGCCTGGGCCTGGGGAGGGTGGGGTGCGTGACGCCGGGGCCTGGAGAGAATCTCCCACGAGCGCTGCTCTCCGCTCGGCTTGCATCGCGGACGACTGCGCGGGTAGAGCGGCGGCATCTGGGCCGCTTGTGGCTCCCTGGCGTGCCTGGCGCTTAGCGGACCTCCGCCATGTGACGTGGGACAAGTCTTGGGCAAGCCCAGGCCTCCGTCTGCCGAGGGTGAGCCGCCAGGGAGGCTTCCAATCGGACGGATGTAACAAACTGGAAGGACGGCTGGACGGCGTTTGTTACTGTGACAAAGAACCCAGCAAGTGCCTGCCCTCCTGGGTAAACAGGCTACGTCACAGTCCTGATCCATTGGTGTCTGTCTCATCCTTAACACCAAATCCTAACTACATCTAAATACCTGAACAGGCTCAAGTCTCCTTTTAGATCCTTAGTTCGGACTTCATCCCCCCCCCACAGCCTTAGCAACGATCTTGATTTGGAAATGGTTATGGAACACGAAGGGATGGCAAGAATCATGGGACTAGAAAGTGTATTTGGCCCTAGTAGTAACGATGTGTAGACAATAATGCGTATTTTTTAAACAATATGCGAGACTTTGGAGGGAAGATTTTGCTTGTGTTTGCCGTTGTCCAGAAGTGGCTTCCAGGGCCTAATACTGCTTTCTGTGTTCCCCAGTATGCTCAGGCTACAGAAGAGGCTTGCCTCTAGCGTCCTGCGCTGTGGTAAAAAGAAGGTCTGGTTGGACCCCAACGAGACCAATGAAATCGCCAATGCCAACTCCCGTAAGTATAATCCTTCACCCTCACCTTTACCTGCGTCAGGTAAAGGACATGGCAAATGTGTTGGCTTTTTATGGCCCTAAGAGGGCTCACATTCTACGGGAGCCGTAAAATGGGGTAAAAAATGCAGGTCCTTTATTTGCCTGAGACAAGGATGGAGGTTACTGCAACTATCCAGTGTAGATTTTAAGCTGTGTGCAAGATGACGTGTGTGTGTGTGTGTGTGTGTGTGTGTGTGTGTGTGTGTGTGTACAATGTTCTGTCTGCTTGTGTGCCTTGGCACCAGATCTCATTACAGGTGGCTGTGAGCCACCATGTGGTTACTGGGAATTGAGCTCAGACCCTCTGAAAGAGCAGTCAGTGCTCTTAACCACTGAGCCATCTTTGCAGCCTGCCGAATGGTAGTGTGAAGAGAGATTTGAGGACTAGAAGGGTGTTGGATGAGGCTTCAGGACATAAGCAGAGGCTTGTTAGTATATTGTTTTCCTGACAGGGTGACTCCAAGTCATCCTGTGTTGCGTCCACATTTCAGGTATACTAAGTATGCTGTGAAATATTTAAAAACTAGAAATGGCTTTTTTTTTTTTTTTTAAAGAAGTACACCAGGAATTCATCTTTTGAGAATGTTGGGTCAAGGATATGAGCACTGTTTCTATTTGAGTTTGTGGCTAGGCCTTTGCTAACTAAACAGGTGAATTAATGCTTTCCCAGGTCAGCAGATACGGAAGCTGATCAAAGATGGGCTGATCATCCGGAAGCCTGTGACTGTGCATTCCCGGGCTCGATGCCGGAAAAACACTTTGGCTCGACGGAAGGGCAGGCATATGGGCATAGGTGAGAACAGTGTTTCCTTTCTCCTGCCTCTTAAATAATGGGTTCAGACAGAGATCTAGTTCAGTGGTAGAGCAGTCATCTGGGTTCAGTTCCAGTCATTGTGGAAAGACTGTTGAAGTTGGCACTAATTCTGGTGATCTTTATTTTGCCGCTTTGTATCTTTTGCATGGATACAAGTTGGAATTAGCACTGGGTTGTGTTTATTCTTGGGAGAAAAATGCTAATGTTAAGTCTCTATGCTGGGGTTTATGCTGGGTATTTTTAAACTGGGGGGGTGCCAGGACAGGCTCCAAAACCACAGAGAAACCCTGTCTCAAAAAAAAACGGGGGGGTGGCGGAGAAATTGGGACTGTTTACTGCTCATGCAGAGGACAGGAGGTTTGGTTCCCAACACTCATGTCATGTCCACGTGCCCCACATAGTTTTGAGAAACTGCTTTCTAGGGCTGTTTTTAAAGAGATGAGTTAGGGTCACACTGCATCCAAAGCCATGCTGATTTGGGGGCTTTTGGCTGTGGGGTTTTGGGATAGGCTTTCTCTGTAGCTTTGGAGCCTGTCCTGGAACTCACTCTTGAAGACCAGGCTGGCCTTGAACTCACAGAGATCCTCCTGCCTCTGCTGGGCAGTGCTGGGATTAAAAGTGTGCACCACCACAGCCCAACTGTCATTACCTTTTGTCCTATTGTAACAGCATGCTTATAGAATGAGAGGACAGTACTTGCCATGTTTGCACTAAATCAAGCAGGTAGATGTCAGTTCCAAGGCCAGCTTTGATGCTTCTCCCCAGAGAAGAAATTGACTTAAACATTTGGGAGTAATATTGTTTAAAATGAAAGAGGGTTAAGTGAGGTGAACTTGGCTGTCTCTAGTAACTGACTTAACAGTGAGCTTAAAGCTATTACATAGAGTCCGGTCCATAACTTTCAACAGGAAAGCGGAAGGGTACTGCCAATGCCCGAATGCCCGAGAAGGTGACCTGGATGAGAAGAATGCGGATTCTGCGCCGCCTCCTCAGGAGATACCGTGAATCCAAGAAGATTGACCGCCATATGTAAGCCACTTTGTTGGTTTTGTCTTTTAGTAGATCTCTCTCGGTGACTTTGGGTTATCTGATTCTACTAGGGTTGCTTTCTTGGTTTCCCCTGTGCTATCAGAATAGCCCAAGAACTGGTTTACTAGGCAGGTTCCATGTAGGCTGCCCAAGGAGGTATGGTTTGGGAACGGTAGTCCCTGTGATAATGGGAAACAGGCTCTGAATAGGCTGAGTGACTTGGGGAGAGAAGCAGCCCACAGGTGCCATCTCTGGTCCCATTGCTAACCAGAGCTGTTTCTTGACCATACAGGTATCACAGCCTTTACCTGAAGGTCAAAGGGAATGTCTTCAAAAACAAGCGGATTCTCATGGAGCACATCCACAAGCTGAAGGCAGACAAGGCCCGCAAGAAGCTCCTGGCGTAAGTTTCTTTTAGAGTTGCCTTTGTTGTGACAGTACTACTGCGGGATCTGGTGCTTCCTGGTGTCGCATCTGTTAGGAGCACAGCTGTTGGCTTGCACTTTCCCGTGCCACCTGCCCATTGGCAACGGGCTGGCGGGACAGCAGCTGCTGTTCCTTGGGGTGATGGAGCTCTGAGGGTGTAGAGTCTGGAGTGTGTGTCTACCTCCCTAGCTGTTCCCCTGTCCCCAGACTGATAATCTTTTTCCTTTGTACTAGTGACCAGGCTGAGGCTCGCAGGTCTAAGACCAAGGAAGCAAGAAAGCGCCGGGAGGAGCGCCTCCAGGCCAAGAAGGAGGAGATCATCAAGACTCTGTCCAAGGAGGAAGAGACCAAAAAATAGAGCTTCCCTCGAGTCTGTACATAGTGGGCTGCCTGTGGCCTCAGGTGGATCAATCATTAAAATAAAACAACCCTTTGTCTGGTGCCCTCTTCTTTGGCGGTTCTGCCTACTGCATCTTAATATTCGAGGGCCCCAGCCGACCACATGAGCCTGGGAGGATGTCAGCCATTTCAAGTTTTGTAGATTATTGTAGGGTTTTTTTTTTTAACCTTGTTTCTGTGGGGTGGTTTTTGTAAAATTAGAAGGGATACAAGGGGTGGCTTCTACCCTTGCCTTCAAAATACTGTATTTCAAAACCGCCCTTTATTGGACACACAGTGACCTGATACTTGTGGTTCTAGCTCTTGAAGATGGTTTAGAGAAGTTCAAGGCCAGCCTGGCTTCTAGCTTAGAACCCAATAGAAGCTGTCAAAGAGGCAGGGTTACATGGCTTGCAGAGTCAGACCTACCTACTCCAAGGTAGTGCGTGGGGAAATAGGCTGGAGATGGCTGAATATAAAATGAAACCCCAGAAGCTGCCTCACAGCAGCTCAGAAGCAGCACCAGGAATTGAGGTTTTACCTAGAGCGTAGGTTTAAGTGATTATGCATCCATTCTCCAGAGGCTGAGATTTGGGGCGTATGTCAGGCAGGTTGGTCCTAGTCAGAAAAATACTGGTATGGCTGTGCAGTAGCCCGCTCTAGGACAGGACAGGTTATTGTGAGCCTATTTAAATGGGTCTGGTAGTTAGTTTCTCACTTAAGTGTGGTAGTGGCTGCCAGTAAGGTTTTCGGTGATTCCTGTCACAATATAATGAAGTGGGGCCCACCACCTCCAGTTTGCAAATGAGTCGGTGAACTGAAGGCTTTACAGCCTGTGCTGAGGTGAGCTGGAGTTTGGTACAGTGTGCTTTGGGCAGTCAGCCTGATTCCCAGGTCTTGGAGGACTTCCAAACCTCAGTGAGAAGGAGCCAATGGGGTGGGGACAGCTGCAAAAAGTAAGGGAGGGGCTGGAGAAATGGCTTAGAGGTTAAGAGCATTGCCTGCTCTTCCAAAGGTCCTGAGTTCAACTCCCAGCAACCACATGGTGGCTCGCAACCATCTGTAATGGGGTCTGGTGCCCTCTTCTGGCCTGCAGGCATACACACAGAATATTGTATACATAATAAATATTTTTAAAAGGAGAAAAGTAAGGGAGGCATAAGTGTGGTGGTTTGAAGTAGGATGTCCACCAGTGCGGCTGCTGTGAGATCAGGGAAAGAGTGGGAGAAGGCACTGGGACCAGGGGACCAAGCAGTTTTACCTCATTGGTTCTGAGCATGGTAGGAAAGGGGTGGTTACTCGGAAACCCTCTTAGGATCTCCCCCATCCTGCCATGTGCAAGGCTTGGCAAAATGAACAATGATTTCTGGATCTGTCCGTGGAAGCAACCTGCATTTGCTACCTTGAATTCTTGCTTTAACTTCCTAATAGATCTTTCTAAGGCCTAAAAGTGGGGTGGCCTTAGCCAAGCTCAGCTTAGCACAGACACATCTTTTCCAGCCCAACTCAGAGGGGAAAGACCACCCAATCCCAGCCTCTCCCATGGTAGAGATAGTGATAAAGCCTGGGCCGCTGGATCCCGAGACCACTCTACAGGGACTGATTCCATTCCAGGCCAGAAGGTGGTGCTGTTCGCTCACTGACTCGGGCTTCAATGGAAAAGTTAAGATGACAAGTTTTAATGTCAACCTATCACAAATGAGTAGAGAGCCTCAGCTGAAGAATTCTGATGGCCTTAATAGATGTTAGGAAGACCCACCTCTTCTAGAAATGACCCAGAGAACAGCCCTTCGCTGATACCAGAACCAGCGTTTTCAGGTCTCCATCACTGATTAAGGATAAGGACTTTCTAAGAATTTTCCAGGTTTTCAGTGCTAAATTGAGACTACCAAGGTGCCAGCCAGTCTGTAAGCAGCATTCTCCCACAGTCTCTGCTTCCGTTCCTACCTCCAGGTTCCTCCCTGGATAGTGATAGGTTGTAATCTGTACGCTGAATAAACCCGTTCCCCCCCCCCCCCCCCGCTGTTTTTGGTCACTGTTTATCACAGCCATAGAGATTCAAACTAAGCAAAGGTGGAGGAGTCCACCTCTCGGAAGAGCCCCTTCCTTCACTGACTGTTCACTCATGACCATGGCTCTGCTACTGACTGAGCTACACTCACCCCGGGGTCAATTCTTTCTGAATGTCACCCCAGGCCCGGAAAGTCCGTCCCTCCTGCCATGAGCTCTGACAACCTTTACAGGAAATGTATGGAGGGCATCTAATTTTCAGGGAGCTGCAATCATTAAGAACTCCTAAATAGGGGCTGGAGAGATGGCTCTGCGGTTAAGAACACTGACTGTTCTTCCAGAGGTCCTGAGTTCAATTCCCAGCAACCATATGGTGGCTCACAACCATCTGCAATGAGATTTGGTGCCCTCTTCTGGGGTGCAGGTATGCACACAGGCAGAACACTGTATACATAATAAATAAATAAATCTTTAAAAAAAAAAAAAACTCCTAAATAACCATTGAATCCATTCCATACACTGGAAATCCAGTCAGTTTAGCACTGAAGATCCAGCTACAGTACAGTATGTACTTAGCATGGGTTCCATCTCTAGCATCACTACTCAGCCCCTCCACCCCTAAATATACGCCCTCTCATTCAAGAGTGTATGACTTGGGTGGGGAGAGATGCTTGGTAGTTTAGAACATTTCCTGCTATTCCAGAAGATGGGAGTTCAGTTCCTAGAACCCACATCAGGCAGCTCACAGCCACCTGTAACTCCAGCTCCAGGGCTACTGATACCCACATACATGGGCACCCATATACATGTAACACACACACATAGAAACACATAAAAATAAAAAACAAATCTTTAAAAAGTATATGACTAGCCAGGCAGAGTGATACATGTAATCCCAGCACTCAGGAGCCTCATTGCACCAATTGAGGATACATAGCAAAACAGAACAAAAGCGCAGAACTATTCCCTACAGAACATATATGTCTTTCCAAGGGGCTCGCTCTCCCCCAGGTAAACACCCTGAGCAAACCCAACTCATCTTTCTTTCTTTCTTTCTTTCTTTCTTTCTTTCTTTCTTTCTTTCTTTCTTTCTTTCTTTCTCCTGCTTTAAGTATTTATTTAACTTTATTTTAGGTGCATTGGTATGAAGGTGTCAGATCCCCTGGAACTAAGTGAATTGTTGACAGTTGTGAGCTGCCAGGTGGTTGCTGGGAATTGAACCCGGGTTCCTCTGAAGAGCAGCCAGTGCTCTTAATTACGAATCTTTTTTATTTATTTTTTTCTGTTGTTGTTTTTGAAACAGGGTTTCTCTGTGTAACTTTGGCTGTCTTAACTGTCCTGGAACTTGCTCTGTAGACTAGGAAAACTCAGAGATCCACCTGCTTCTCCTGGGATTAAAGGCATGAGCCACCACCGCCTAGCTACCCAACTTATTCTTTAAATAAGGCAGCTGAGGTTCAATGACTCCCCAGATCCTCAGCATTGTCTAGTTAGACTCTGCCACACAAGTCTGGCACTGGGCTCCCAGCTGTTGGTTCATAGACTCAGAGCAGAGCCACTGATGTCGGCTGGGAGCTGGGGAAGGGCTGGGAAAGTGGAGCTGGCTTTGGCCTCCTCCCTGGTGACATCAGTGAAGCTGAGGCGGGCAAGCTAGGCCATCTTCTATGAAGCACAAGAGACTGAGTCTAGACGTGCACAGCTGCCTTCCTTGAGTGTCTCAGCAGGTCCCTAGTTGGTCAGAGTCCTAGGAGACTGGGGGATGCAGAGGCTGAAGGGGAGGGGATATGCTAGCAATATGACAGGATTACACAGAAAACCTGCCTGAATCTTCCCTGTCTCTAGAGTCTACCCCGTTTACTCCCTTGTCCCTTTAGGCCTCCCTGTCTCTGGCTCCTTTCTTTTCTTTCTTTCTTTTTTTTTTTTTTTTTTTTTTTTTTTTTTTTTTTTTTTTTTTTTTT